CCGGAATCATTCGCTTACGATGAAACTAAGTTGACTTTTATTTGTATTTCATAACCATTCAACAAATTTATTTTGTGTACATTATTATAATCACTACTGAGTACAGTAATAATCAACAATTCAGAAACGCAGCATGCCGAGATTTTTGTGTTCGTTTTTATTTGAAACCCAATTAGTTTTTGGTAAATATTTATGCTTATTAATCTCCTAATTAACATAATTAATTAACACTGATATCTCAATTACTGATCATCACATTTGAATAAAATTTGGTACATAAATGCTCTAGAACAATAGACAGGCCTGATTAATTTTGGGTTAAAATTTGTTCATATTAATTCTCTAATTAGCATAATAATTCATAATTTTTTTGTTCTGTTCTGTTCATATTAGTTACCTGATTTACATAATTAGTTTTCAGCTTTTCCATCAATATCTCATGTACAAGTAATTTGTAATTAATTTTTAATGTGTCTTCAATACTCTCACGGGATAGCACACGGGAGTTCTTTCTAAGCTTTCTTTGATTTTTGGGTTCTAATCACATTTCAATTAAACTTGGAAACATAGATTTTCTGTTACATTGCACAGACCTCATTAGTTTTACAATCAAATCTGGTCATATTAATTTTCTGATTTGCATAATTAGTTTTCAGCTAAGTAATTTCGAATTATATTTAATGTGTCTCAAATACTCTCAGCACGTGGGAGTCCTTTCTAAGCTTTCTTTGATTCAGTACTGTGAAATATTTTATTTTAGCTGGAATTAATTTTCGCTGAAAAGACTTTTTGGGTGATTTGTATGGAATTTATTTTTACTGATTTTTGACAAGTCGAATGTAAAATATATTGAAAAAAAGTATATTTGCTGGATTTTATTTTCGCTGAATTATTCTTTTAGCGAAAATAGCGAAAATTAATTCCAAGTGAAAATAAAGTATTTCACAATATATTTCATGTGTGTATAGGATAGTACATGTACAGATTTCCTCACTAGTAATTAATAAGATTCAGTTATTTACAAAATTCGGGATGGGGAGATACATGCTGTTGAGTTATTTATAGATCAATTATTCACTTGTTCTTTCTGGAACAGTAGAATGGCTTCAATTTGCAGGGTTAACAATCCTGCAATAGGTATCGTAGTTGTACTTTGAAGGGATCCCTTAAAGTTAAAGTAATGCTAAAATAACCTTAAAGGAATTAGCCACATTTTTATTTGCAGTATTTATGTGAATTGCTTGTTTATGAGGGATGCCCCCAGTGGCCTCTATAGCTTTCTTCCATTCACCTAAGGGACTGACCATTAGAAACTGTGGGGAGGAGAAATTATTTGTCCCTCATTTATTTCTGAGCTTGATTTTTTTTTTTCACAATGATGACAGCGTGCATTTTTGTTTTCTTTTGAATCCTTGTTTGCTTTTTTATGACAGTTTTTTAATGCAATGTTTCCTATAGAATTTTGTTTTCAATTCTACATCCACCTCCTAAGTTACTTATGGTTAAGTCCTAGGTTACTAAAAGCACTATGCCTTTTTTAACCTGCAATTAAATTCCATAGATTTAAATAACAAATACTGTATAAAAGCGATGTGTTCAAAGGTATTTGTCTGGACCTCGTAATTATGTTAGTTCTTTGTAATTATGTCAGTGTTTCACATATGACTGTGTACTCTGTATTCAGTGGATCATTGTCAACTCGGGTGTGGATCGAGTCACAAGCATTCCAGACATTGCGACTGTAATAGTCTAGTAAGTTATCTTGTCTTGTCTTGTTTTGTTATTTTCATTCTGACAGTGCACTTCAAAGATTCATGTCTTTTAGAAATAAGTTGTTAACTAAAACTGTACAAGTATATGCAATGAAATGAATAACATGTTCTGATGATGCATGTTAGATGATACTAGTGTAGCAGTCAGATCAGGGTGGTTTTTATTTATGTCAAGAACACTTGCTTACCATTGCATTATGGGTATAGTAGTATGTCGTAGTCAAAGAGTGTCTTTATGCAGACTAATATTTGTTGTTAAATTGTGTTTTGAGATCAAGGAAAGTAAATGTGTCTGGTCAGAGGTACATTACTTGGGGTTTGCAACGCACATAGTACTGTATGGTGACATCATGTCAAGATCCCATTCAAGTCTCATCTCGTAGTTAGCGAGACTGATGCTACTACCTTCTGACATGACATAGGCGTTTGTAAGAAAACAATAAAACACGTATTACCACATTCATAAAGAAAAAAATGTAATACATCGAAAATATACCGAAAATATAGTTATCGTAATCCGTCATATCATGAGCAGCTATTTTGATCCACCTGGACATCCCAGTATCCTAGTTACCTCGGGCATGCGCATTCGCATTTTTCTGAGTTGGAACGCTTATGCGAGTGCGAGATTGTAACGGGATCTTGGTATCATGTCACCGTAGTTGCAAACCCCAAGTAATGTACCTCTGGTCTGGTAAAGAATGTACCCTGAATAACTAATTAATAGTTTGTAATGTATCGTTATTATTGCTGTCAAGTTGTTGTGATTGTAGTCAAACTTTCTGAACTGTATTGTAAGGAAATCCTTCTTCTTTGTGGAATAAAAAAAAAAAACTGTTGTGGTTGATGGATCTAGTCACCATGGGGTAACTCTTTTGAAGTACTGGTAGATGTTAATACGCAGTTTTTGTACATTTATGAATTTGCACCATTCGTAGATATACTGGGTATGATCAGCTATTGATTTTGAACTTCAACCCATAAAAGTAGCATTTGCCTCATTGAAACATAGGATGATTGGCAGTTTGAGCTTAAATAACAGTTTATCACTTTGAGACTTGTTTAACCTCTAGCTTAACTTAGTACTGCATGTCATATACATCTGTTGTATCTTTAAAGTCATTTAAATAACACCACTTACAGTAAATAGTGTTTTTTCCTGTCACAATGGTTTCACTAACTTTGAATTTGGGTTTATTTCCACTTATAGACAACCAGAGCCATGTTTGTTAATTTAGTCTACTGACATTCATTCGTGAAACATTGCGTACATAATGTTGAACAATGTCCCATTCTAACTAAATGCATTTTCATGCAATGCTTATTTAAAACAATTTGGTCTACTACATTGTTATCTAATCTTTTTTTTCATGAACTACTATATACTTATTATGTCAATCATTTGATTCCCAAAGTCAACTTTTCACAAAATAAAAAATTAAATTAATTTTGTTTTCAATAATTTTAATCAAGATATTTAGGCAACAAAAAATTATGAAAAAATGCATATGAAATGTTGCGTTAAAATTGTGACAGGAAAACTGATGGCATTCAAGTATATTATTAGCATATTATTTAATGTGAACACAGTGAATTGTTTGCATATTTTACTGCATCCTTTGTTGAACCCAACTCAATTACTGTTGGAATTTGTGATATGCTCTTCTATATTAACAGTATTTAACATTTTCAATATTTGATATTATAATTATTGTATTCAGTGCTGGTTGACCTTTACAATAAACTTGTATCAAAGATTTATAAGATGGAGGTATGCGAGTGGGGGTGATATGCGATAAAGATAACCAGCAAATTATATAAGCACCCTTTGTTTCTGTGTTGCTATTGGTTGGAGCTATCAATTGACATGCTCAAAAGGGGATCGCTTTCAAAGAAAACACGAAAATTTGCTTCGTGCGAGATTTTTATTGCATATCACCGTACATTGTTATAAAATTTGCAGACCTTTATTCTATAAATCTATGCTTGTACCTAACATGCTTCTATCCTGGACATGCGATTTCAAATGTGTAATCATTGTATGTAACCATAGTTACCAGTGGTATTCTATCAACTTGCACTTATTAGTGTTTTTCACCAGGATGGAAATTTGGGACAAAGAATAAATGGAAGAGATTTGTAAAGTCCTCAGTTCCTCCGATATAGCACTGCGATGCAGTCTCTGATATAGCACTGCGATGCAGTCTCCGATATAGCACTGCGATGCAGTCTCCGATATAGCACTGCGATGCAGTCTCTGATCTCTCCCCATTCTTGAGTATTGACATGTATATGTAACAGATTGATTGCTGAAACCCTTCATGGATAGTCACAGATTGTATAAAAAAAAATTCACAGCAGGCGATGTGGCAGCCTGTGGTGGAGAATTTTACAGGGTTGGAAAATAAATGTCAAATTTCCATTTCCACTGATAGGTGCATCACAAATACAAGATACTTTTACGTACTAGGAACTACTGCATTATATATGATTTTTTGAATCGGATACTATATGAACAATATATATAGTCATATCTCTTGTATTTTAGGTTATGTAGATTAATATTTCAATCGTCCAATGTTCTTCGTCATCCATGATGTACCCTGACCCTGACGCCGTGAATCACATTAGCCAAGTCATTAACGCAGCATCTTATTATGGTTTTATGAATTCCACATACAAAAAAAACACTATAATTTCTGTTGGTTGTAGGGAGCTCCTCTTTTGGTCGGCATCAGTGTCGTGGTCATCACGGCGTTCCTAGCCAAGAAGTTTTTTGGTGGTCGAAAGAAAGGACCACCAAAGGTACTGATTGATGCACAGACAAAGTACCCCCTTGAATTGGTAGATAAGGAGGTAAGTTCTTTTATTACATGAACCAATAAGAAGTAAGTTCTCTTATTACAACCAATAAGAAGTAAGTTCTCTTATTACATGAACCAATAAGATACACACGGGTGGATGGATATTTGAGGGGAAGAAGGGGCTGTTTAGGTGGATGTGTGTAAATTTGAAATTGCAATGAGAAAGCAGAAGTGTCTCCTTGTATAGATTTCACAGGCAATGAATTAAGTACTTTTCAACGCAAATCAACTCGGGAGCAGCTTTATTTCACAACATTATTTGAAGCATCTTCATGCTGGCTTTGACTTGATCATACAAAGCTATATTGATGTGTATTTGTGATAATTGGATGGTTTTATTTTCAGATCATCAGCCATGATACTAGACGATTTCGTTTTGCGCTGCCATCAATGGAACATGTACTTGGACTACCCATAGGTAAGTAGGATGGGTGGATGTGGTGGGAGATGGGCTGTCTCTAATTACCCAAACACATGATACATCAGGTTGTAACTACCAATCGATCGTACATATTGAAGTGAGAAATACTGTCAAATTTTTGTAAGTCTGTGAAATTTTGTCTTAGTTTATGACTGCCATAAAATCATCAAATTGCAAAAAATCCCTAGCCACGAAAATGAATCTGTTACAGTATTGTACATTTCAAATATCTGCCTGTCGTACCATCTATAATATACACCTTTGCTTTAAAAGTAACTATACATTTCAGTAATTACCCTTAATTATGGCCTGACAATTTGTTGGCTTTCAAACATCAACAAACAAACGAACGATGAAATGGATGACTTTGTCCTGAATCTTTTGGATGATATGAACTTTTTCGTCATTTTAGTGTGTTACATTCCTGTTGTTTATTTCAGGTCAACATATTTACCTAAGTGCTAAGATCAATGGTAATTTGGTTGTTAGACCGTACACGCCGGTCTCTAGTGATGACGATAAGGGTTTCATGGATCTTGTAGTTAAGGTATTTGTTGTTGTTTATTGTGTATAATTCGGCTATAAATTATTTTCATCAATGAATTCGTTTAAAAGCATGGAAACTCTTTAAAAAATTCTTTTGCATTCAGTGACGTGATCCTATTTTCGTCAACGGCAAGATTGTTGCTATGTTCAATGTAAATAATCGCAACACAAATTGACCTGTTTAAGCAAACTTATCAACTGATGCTTCGAGGTCAGTGCAATCCTGTACTGCCGGAGTGCAGATTTTGCGGTATTCTCATGATTAATATTATACATTATTTCCTATGTGTAGTAATAATTCATTGAGATATAACAAACTGAAATGCCAGTGAAAAGCATGCCTGACTGCGTTATTGTTGGCCTTCAGTGATTATATTTCAGTCATGCGCAACATTATTGCCGAGTTTAATGTAAACAAAGTGTTTGAATGGAACGTCATTGTGTAGCACATTTTCCAAATAAGGTAGACATTCAAACAGGAACACTTTTGCACTAAAACACTTTCGAACACATTCGCACAAGGTTTTATGAATGAGTGTGTTTTTTTTCTGTGCGATGTTTTTAATAATAGTAATTATATTGCACCAGAGGAAAGTTAATATTAATAAAATTCCCCTAGTAACAGCAACACAAATGCAATGCAATTAATATATCCAGTAGTTGATCTAACTCTATACTACACCGAAAATTATTTGTCTAGTGCGAGGCTGCTAAAATCCAGGTCTGTAAATGCTAAGCTTACCTCAATAGCTAAAAAAACAAGATAATTCTGTCCCAAAATAACACTGTTTTCTGAAACATAATCATTTTTGCACTAAGTCTCCTATAAAAACATTCAAGAAATTAACACTGTGAATTCAGTATTATTAATCTTTGCATCATTGATATCTTTTTAGATCTACTTTAAAGGTGTTCATCCCAAGTTTCCTGATGGTGGTAAGATGTCTCAACATTTAGAGAATATGCCGATTGGTGATTACATCGATGTGAGGGGGCCATCTGGGTTGTTGACTTATGCCAGTCCTGGTAGGTGCAGTATTGTCCCTCCAGAGAGAGAGGAGAATGTTTGCTCGTCTAATTATTCATCCATCCATCCATCCATCCAAATTACCTGGACATGACAAATAACCCCATGACCATTGTGCATGTATCCTCAGTTGTGAAGATTACTGAATTAACACTGTAAACATGATTCAAGTCCCATTTTATGCACGTGTGTTCTATAACAGTATGCAACTACTGTTCATGTCAGTGATTTTTTTCAGATAATTAATAATGCTCACGGCAAGCATGTGCGGAATGTGTAAACATTGATAAGCATTATACATGACCATGAGTTTTGAGCTAGATTCGATGTTCACTAAATATCGGCTTTGTTTCTAATTGTTGATCTGCGCAACACTCTTATATCACCGTCCATGTTCGTATTGGGTCCATTTCTTTGCAAATATCTCAATGAGTGAAATTTGGCATTCTGAGAAACATTATTTTTTTATTTATTTTTTCATGCAACTTGTATTTTAAATACACCTGATTCAAAGTGGATTTTAAAATGTAATCAGAACATTTCTTAGTGATAAATGTGCTTATGAGGGAACACTGCTGGTGTTATAGGATGAATGATTGAACATTCCCTGAAAATAACCCATTGTGTGATTCTAGAATCAGTTCTTTTCTGTACATTGCAGGTGTCTTTGCCATCAGACCAGACAAGAAGTCACCACCTGAGCTGAAGAAAACCAAGAAACTGGGCATGATAGCTGGTGGTACAGGTAAGTCATTCTGCAGTTCAAGCAAATCTGTTGATTCCTCAATTGTATTTTTCTTTTTACTGGTAAAGATTTCATTACTGTTGAGTTCAGTGATCTTCGAGTAATTAATATTTTCAATAATCGTTGGCTAAGCTGCAAACAATAGAACGCATGACAGTACAATGGTGGCACGCATATGACCACATATGACCTCTGATAAGCCAGAATAACACCTTAAACTGTATGCTTTGCTAGTCTGTTGTATGAGTTGTCTGGGTTCCATGACATTTTCTGATTTTTTCATTCAGTATATTCACTACATTATTTGTATTCTGATATAAGAATCAATGGTTGCTTTAATTTCTGTAGAATACTTTTAATTGATTGACTTTAATTTTAATCTTTACTTGTAGGAGTTACTCCCATGCTGCAACTGGTCCGTGCTATTTTGAAGGATCCTGAGGATAACACTGAGTTATATCTGATCTTTGCCAATCAGGTAAGACCAAATATTTGGATAATTATTCAAAACTAAAATTGTTAGGATGGGTATAGTTGCGGTGATACAACGGAACACTAAAAACTGATAAAGGTTGATTCAATTGTGGTAGACTTGCATACTGTCAGTTTTTGGTGTTTTTCAATAAAATATGTGACTGTACAAATAGTCAAAGTCGGATTACTGCAAAACTAACTTGGGACTCGTGTCCCTTGGATGCCCTCTTGTGACGCCTGTGATGATTGTCACAGATCTGGGGTTCAGTTCATTATGCTATGATTGACAGGCTAAATAATATTCCACCAATCAGCATCAATGTAAAGATTTGAGTTTAAATTTTCAAACCTTTGTGTCAATTGTTTTAGAACATGCTGAAACTGAAATTTTGCGCGCTTACATTTCATAATATTCTTCAAAAATTTGTTATGATGGTATTGCAAGACTGTGTCAAAGATACTAGGCTACACGTCACTTTGAGAATACTGAGATAACGCTGATGCGTACACTTCTGGGCGTGATGTTTGAGTGTTTTGTGTTCAAATCACCGAATGGCCAGCTTTGAACAGTGTTGTATGGTTATCTGATGTTTCTATATTTAACCCATATCCAATGCAAATGCATTCCTGAGTAATACAACAGTAGCGATGTGTGCTCCACCCATCAAATTCTGTAATATGTAAATTATGCCAATCTGTTATTTCAGTGAAAAGCTCATTAATATTAATAGCAAAGGAACCCTTGTAGGGGACACAAGTCTCTTGTTTGTTTCGCTGTAACCCAGCTTTCCCCATTTATGCACATAATATTTTATTTGATTTGAAAAAACACCAAAAAACAAACAAGTTTACAATTGTGGAAAAAAAACGCACACAATTAAGATACTGCCAACTTTATTACAATGCATATTTCTTCGTCATTTCACGAGATGCTATGAAACCTTATTTTGGTAGAGTAAATCAATCACATGTCAACTAAATATCATCGCTATCCATACATCTGAAGCATTCTTGTATGCATTTCAGCTGCTTTCCAGACACTGTGTAAGTACTTACAAATCTTGGTGAATTGTTAAATTAAATTTGTTTCTCCCTCAGACGGAGAAGGATATATTATGTCGCCAGGAATTAGAGGACTGCGAGAGAGAAAATCGTTCCCAGTTTAAGCTGTGGTACACCCTTGACAAGGCCCCAGAAGGTGAATATTGTATTATTTTAGAATTATTGTTGTGCTGTAATACACTCGAAATTAATTTGAGCCATAAATTCAGATTCTTGTGTTAATGTAAACATAAATTAGGCCACACTGAGGGCGAAAAAAAAAGAAAATCCTGCCAAAAAAAAAAAATCCTGCTAAAAGCACAGGACTACGGAGCTGCTATTACGAATTGGACCACAGAACACAATGTATCAAAGAACAACAAGAAGTCTTTATTTGTAGGAGGCACATGTTGATGTACACATCTCGTACTGTATTACTGTCACAGGTATAACCATTTCAGACGAGCTCTAGTACATGTAGTCATGATGAAGTACAGTAGAACGTCGATTATCCGAACGTCGATTTATATCCGAAATGTTCGGTTATCCGAACCTACTGTGTGTCCCCCAAAGTTTGTATGCA